TTTTTATCACTCATCGTTAAAAATTTTAATAGAATTGATTTCGTGATATTTTCTTATTTTTTCAACGATAACGTGACATGATATTTATGGTGACACATCAACATCACTATTAATTTTTTAACGGCGAGTGAGTAAAATAGAACTAAAACGTAATGTTAGTGATGATTTTGAAAAAAATAATTGCGTGAAAAACAAAACAAAGTAATAATTATATGTAGTTTATCCAAAAAAAATTATTAAGCTAATTAAATTAGTATAATCTTTTGTTTAAATTAAATTTGATTAATTTAAATTTAAATCTAATCTAATCCAATTTGATTAAAAATTTTATGGTAAAGTTCAAAAATAGTACCCTAATTATAAGATATTATTCTATTGAGTATTTCGACTATTAAAAGTTACAAAATATTCCATTGACTATAAGACGTTGCTTTGTTAAGTCCATTGACAATTAGAAGTTATAAAATGAGCATTTGACAATTCATTTAAATGGTACTTTTTCGTTAAAAATTTGATGGTAGTCTAAGCTAGACGTTAACCTGTTGATTGAGATATGATAAGACCTGATCTCAAAATCTCAAACAACTAGCATATCTTAGTTCAACTTATATGACCTTCAATTTTTTAACTGAAAAAAACGATTTTGGAATATAATGAATAGTCGGGTGACCATTTTGTAATTTTTAATAGTCAAAATACTTAACAGCAACTTCCTATAGTTGAGATATCATTTTATAACTTTAAAATAGATACATTATTAAATTTAAAACAATCAAAAAATATTAAATATCTAATTTTAAAAAATAAGAGAAGTTAAAAATCTTTTTTAACTTAAAGTTAGATTAACAAAATTTAAAATGACATTAAATAAAAAAATTAAGGGTAAACTACATAAATGGTCATTGTTGTTTGATTAAAATTTTCTTTTACCTATTGATGTTTTAAAAGTAATGATTTGATCATTGATATTGTCGATTTATAATAGATCGATCACCCGCCGTTATCAATCGTTGCTGGGAATAATAAAATGTTGATGTGACGCGTTAAATTGGTGATCTAGCACCATTTTGTCACACGTTTGACTCCCTAAAATTTTTTATCGGTGTTTTTTTTCTCTTTTATTCTTAAAGCGATTAACACCATAACACCACCACCATGGAATATTGTAGAGCTCACTGATACAACAATCGATGTTCGAAAATCACCCTAAGTGATGGAACATCAACACCATACGACCACCACCTACTCATCATCAACAATCACCATCTCATTCTTTCCCAATGGTTCCCCTATATTTCTTCCCTTAGTTCATCCCCACCTCTACTTCTTCTTGGCAAAATAACTAGGAGCTCCCGATTAATTAAGGGGAGATGATTAAAGGCAACGCCAAAAATAAACATACCACAAAAGAGATAAAAATCTAAAGATCCTTTTTTGATTCACGACTCTTTGTCTATTATTAAAATCGATGAAGCACAAATCTTAAACCCACATCATCTCTCAAATCTTAATTCCACGCCATCTCTCGTTATCGTTACTTATGACCTTATTCATTATATATTCACATTAATCGGTTTAAGTGAAAATAGAAGACTTAAACAGTTTGAACTTCGACGGATTCTTACAACACTAGTTCTAGGAAGAGGAATCTTAAGGTAAAAAGCAGTAGACTAATTGAATGGTTACGAAAAGTTACATGAAATATCATTAAGTATACCTAAATTATTATAATAATTTAAATATAATATTATCAAATTATAACAATTTATGTATTTTTAATAACACTCTTTGACCATTAATTTAAATTCTCTAGGGTAAAATTTAACTGAATTATTAAAAGATAAACTTAACCCAAAACATGTGTAGCATCTAAAGCAGAAGAGTGGAGAGCAGCTTTTAAAGTAAGTAGGGTCGAAGATTAGTAGCATTAAATTACATGTCATGTACTGAAATAAAAGAATTTCAACGGTGGTGAGGTGATGATGCATGGCAGTAAATGCACAGACTAGGAAGTGAAAGATAGATATAAAAATTTTATATTTATTAATTTATATTATAAATTTAATATAAAATTTAAAAAAAATTAATTACATTAAAAATTTAAAATTTAAAAAAACTATTATACCATTTACTCTTGGTTCATCCCTGAACGGAGCATGGTAACATACAAAACTTTAATTAAAAAAATAAAAAAACTACACAGAAAATCACTCGATTATTTTCTTAGAAAGGTAAGGACATAATATATTATTGGTATTACTTGAGATACAGCATATTATATATAACTAATTTTAGACTCCATGCTAGAATAAAATAAGAAAATAGAAGTTTTAATACAGAAATTCAAATCCAGGCTCTATTGAAATAATAAGATCACAAAAACTACAAAAGTGAATTCATTGTTGGTTTATAATTTGGAAAGATTATATGTATTTCTTAAATTATAATTAACGCAAGATTAAAATAAAAATGAATTTACATTTTAAAACTGAATTTAATATTTTTCTTTTAATCTATTTTTTTCTTTTGAATATATAAATTACAATAAATATCAATTTTTATGTTAAATCCATTTGAATTATATTTTTATTATAATTTAAACTATTCGAATTTATAATATATTTTTGCTATTTTGAAAATCAAATTTTTATAGAAAATTTTGATAAATGTTGAATTAAACTTATATTCATTTTGAATTATAATCTAAATTATTATTTTTATTATCATATTAAAATTAACTAAAATTAATGGATATTGAAAATTAATTACAAATATGATAATTACATAATATTTATCGAATATTAAAGTAAGATTTTTTTTTTCATTAAACTAATGTGAATTACAAAGTAGTATCAATTCTAAGTAATCTAAATCATTTAACAATAAACGTTTAATCATCTATGCTGTTGATGGTGTCTGAACTCATGACCTCTAGAAACAATAATAATATTTTTAACCGCTGAAATAAGTTGATTTATGAAATATTAAAGTAAAATTTTTTCATGAAACTAATGTGATTACAAAGTAATATCAGTTCTAAATACTCTAAACCATTTGACAATGAACGTTTAATCATCTTTGTAGTTGCTGGTGTCTGAACTCATGACCTCTATAAACAATAATTACTTTTTTAACCACCGAAATAAGTTGATTTATGAAATATTAAAGTAAGAACTAAATTTGCTCGAGTGGTTTAGATGGTTCTATTATATCCATATTGCTTTTGTTCAAATCCCGATTTTAACACTTTTATTTTCCTTTTTATTCTAGCATGCAGTCTACCAGTCTAGTATAAGTTATATATAATATGTTGTATCTAAAGTAACAACAATGAACGGCTCAGTGGTTGTGTCCAGCCCTAACCTCTCTTAAGACTAAATTAATTTATTCAACTAAATAAATTAAAAATAAGAAAAATCTCTCCAATAAAATGATGTCATATGTTAAGATTAGATTATAAAATTAAATTTATTGAAGGAAATTAAAATTATGATTAAATTCATAAAATATATAAATTAAGAATTAAATATATAATTATATCAATTTTTTTAACTATCACATCACTTCATCTGTTAAAAATTTAACAACCAATGGCTTAATTGAATCATTTAAATGTTGGGTGATTTGATTGTTAGTATTGAAATATCGATGATGAAAATGAAAATAGATAATAATTAAGTGTTCACCCGTGTAATTTACCAAAACACCCTAACCATTAGGTGTAATGAGTGATTCAGTGGTCCAAAGTCGTAACACTTACAAAACACCAATATCCCATATTCCCCAAACGTCGCTTACAGCTCACATGTTGCTTCTACCATAAGACTCGATTATATTTACATTCAAAATATTTAACTTAATACAAAAATTAAACTCCAGAATTTACTTGAGGTTATGATTATTTTTTGGGTAAACTACATCAGATACCATTGAACTTTAGGTGGTGTATTGTTTATACCACTAAACTTTAAGTTTTATCAATTATAACACTAAATTTTTATTTTTGTTTCAATTATACTATTGAGCCGTTAAATTGTTAACAGTCGGATCAAAACGACGTTGTTTTGGTGAGATGTCAATGTTGGCAGCCATTATCCATATCGAAAGCCATAAGCTACGTCATAATATCGTTAATGATTTAACAGTTCAGTGGTATAATTGAAACAAAAATCAAAGTTCATTGGTATAATTGAAAAAATTGAAAATTTAATGGTATAAATAATACAATGCCTAAGTTTAGTGGTATTTGATGTAGTTGACCCTTATTTTTTTTAGGTATTTGGTTGAATAAATTTTTACTCGGATATTATTTCGGTCATCCATTATTCTTTTAAAGAGTAAATTTAATTTTTGTTTTAGTTTCAATTTAGTTATCTATTATTAAAAGAATTAACAGTGATGTTGATGTATCATCATAATATAATATTATATCATCAAGGAAGAAAATAAAAGTATTGCATCAATCGTTCTGTTATATTTTAACGATAAGTAATCAAAATAAAATTAAAATATAATTAAGTATAATTTTAAAAGAAAAATAATTGAGTGATAAAAATAAAATTATACAAATAATTAGGTAAATAAGTAGTTTATTTTTTGGGTAAATTATAAATTTGGTAACTAAACTTTACACTCTCTCCTATTTCGTTCATTGTACTTTAAATCTTTTCAATTTTCTCACTGAACTTAATACATTTGATTTTTTGGTCATTCAGCCGTTAAATAGTTAACGGCGTTAAAATGAGCTGTTATATAAATGCAAAACGACTTCGTTTTGGTTAATTTTTTTTAAATGATATCGTTTTTAACACTGTTAACTATTTAATGACAGAGTGATCAAAATAGGAGAGAGAGTAAAGTTTAGTGATAAAATTTGTAGTTTACCCTTATTTTTTCCAGTTTTTTTAGCTGGTTATAGAATCTAGTTTTAATGGAAAGAATTTACCTTTTCTTACCGTTTCTGGATATATATAACCAACAGTTGTCATATATGCAGAAAAACTATCAAAAAACTTCAAAAGGTGATTGGTTTTGGAACATTTGCATTCTTTGCTTACCCAACTCCAACACCACCAGTCCACCATCACTTCGGCCGCTCTCCTCCGCCGCCATTGCCACCACTTCTTTCACTTTCTCAAAACCTCAATAACAAGAAACCACAAAAACCAAAGTATCTCAATCTTTAAATCTCAAACAACACTTTTTATTCACACTAAATTCACTCTACAAAGCTACATTTCTCAAAGGTAAGTCCAGTTTATCAAATACTGCCAATTCTAAAAATATAGTCATTTGCTTGATAAGTTGATTTATTGCTTTAGTTTTTTGTTTAACTATAAACGGTTGGTAGTGAGAGCACAGTTGCACTTTATATAGTGAGTAAAAATGGAAACTTTTTTTTGGTTTTCATCTCTGCATTTAGTTTCTTTTCTTTTAACTGCAATAGAGATGTTCGTTTTCAAGATGAGTAAAATGTTTCCTTTGAGATTTTTGTTAAGTTTTTTTGTCGGTGGGGTTTCATGTGTTGGGATTTTTTTCTATATCTTTTAGATTTCAACTGAAGCCATTGATGAACTTGGTTTTGCTTGAGATTTCAATCTCCTCTGATTCAATTGCATGTATATTTATATTTCATTTTCTAAATTGACGGCTTGTCTTTCTCCATCACGTTTTTTTCAGTCCCAAATCTACCGAACTTCTGTTTGTTCATCTTCATTCTGGTAGTACAATCTGCTTTGTAGATTTTCAAGCTTGCAGCTTTTTTTCCCCCTCCTCTACTTGACATTCTGTTTGGTAGCTGAGAAAATGTGTGGTGAAAGAGAAGAAAACTTTGATTTTCTGACAGTTGTGTAATAATTTGATTTGGTCAAAGTAAATTCTAGTAAAAAAATTGAACTTTGTTCTTAGGATTATTGGTGAGATTAACTAAAAACAGTTAATAGTTTGGTGAATTCGTGCTAGAAAGTAGAAACATTATTCCATCATGCAATGTTAAACAATTAATGGTCTTCTTGACATAGGCTATAAAGGGTTTTTCAAGTAATGGACCGTCGATGGCCATGGAAGAAAAAATCATCCGATAAAGCTGCTGCCGCCGCCGCTTTGGCTTCAGTTGCAGCTCAAACTGATCAGGTAAATCTTGTATACTTAACTAAAATGTGCAGCAAGCATACTTGTTTAGGCTATCTTTTCATTCTTGATTTTAATTCGAACTACATTATCTCTGCTTGAGCAGAGATTTGGATCTGCTTATCATCTAAATTGTTGAACTGTTTTATCAGATATTGATTTTGTTTTGATTTTTTGTTGAGTAGGATACCTACAAAAAATCGAAGTTTGTTCAAATTTCGGTGGAATCATATTCGCACCTCACTGGTTTGGAGAATCAAGTGAAAATATACGAGGAACAAGTCCAGACATTGGAGGATGAGATTAAGGACTTGAATGAAAAGCTCTCTGCGGCCAATGCAGAGATTACTACCAAGGAAGACCTGGTGAAACAGCACACTAAAGTTGCAGAAGAAGCGGTCTCGGGTTAGTCTATGCTCAAATTTCAAAGCCTAATGTAATATTTAACTTTGTCCGAATTTTTCTCAACCTGTGCTGTTGGTTTTGCTGTAGGTTGGGAAAAGGCTGAAGCAGAAGCCTTGGCATTGAAAAATCATCTCGAATCTGTTACCCTTTTGAAGCTCACTGCTGAAGATAGGGCTTCGCATTTGGATGGTGCTCTTAAGGAGTGCATGCGACAAATCCGAAATCTGAAGGAAGAACATGAACAGAAGTTGCAAGATGTCATAAATAGCAAAAACAAACAATGTGAAAAGATTAAGCTCGAGCTTGAAGCTAAGATAGCTAATTTAGAACAAGAGCTCCTTAAGTCTGATGCTGACAATGATGCAATTTCTAGGTCTTTGCACGAACGTTCTAACATGCTGGTTAAGATTACTGAAGAAAAATCATTAGCTGAGACCGAGATTGAGCTTTTGAAGGGTAACATTGAATCATGTGAAAGGGAAATAAATGCACTGAAGTATGAGCTGCATGTAGCTTCCAAAGAGCTAGAAATTCGTAATGAAGAAAGGAATATGAGCATGAGAACTGCAGAAGCAGCTAACAAGCAGCATATGGAGGGTGTCAAAAAGATAGCAAAGCTAGAAGCAGACTGCCAAAGACTGCGTGGTCTTGTGCGGAAAAGGTTGCCCGGCGCTGCTGCACTTGCTCAAATGAAGTTAGAGGTTGAGAGTTTAGGACGGGATTACGGAGATACTCAAATAAAGAGGTCTCCCTCCCGGCCTTCTAGTCCACATGTGCCCGCTGTGACAGGCTTCTCCCTTGACAATGCACAGAAATTCCAGAAAGAGAATGAGTTCCTCACGGAACGATTATTAGCAATGGAAGAAGAAACAAAGATGCTGAAAGAAGCTTTGGCAAAGCGTAACAGTGAACTACTGGCTTCTAGGAATCTGTGTGCTCAGACATCTAGCAAGCTTCAAACTTTAGAAGCACAATTCACCTTCAGCAACCAACAAAGCAGCTCCTCAAGAGCTATTCAGATTCCTGAAGTCTACTTAACTCGAACTGCTAGCAGTTCTCCAAGTGTGGCTTCTGTATCTGAAGATGGAAATGATGATAAAAAAAATTGTGCCGACTCGTGGGCAACAGGTGCGACCTCTGAGCTATCTCAATTCAGGAAGGAAACGAGCATTGAGAAGTCGAATAGAACTGAAAATGAAAAGCACCTGGATCATATGGACGATTTTCTTGAGATGGAGAAGTTGGCGTGTTCTTCAAATGATTCTACTGCAAATGCTGCAATAAACATTTCAGGTTGTACCAACAACAATACATCGGAAACTGTTAATGGTGGTGATGCTTTGGGAGAGATTTCTTGGAAGGAACTCCAGTCTGAAAAGCAGCTTGATCTACCACCAACAGCAAACGGGTCTATGAACATGGATTTGTCAGAAGTTTATCATGAATCTAATGCAGACAAATTGCTTGTTATGAAGCTTCGATCAAAGCTCTCTATAGTGCTTGAATTAATGTCTAAGGATGCTGATGTGCAGAAAATTCTTGGGGACATCAAACGTGCTGTCCAGGATGCACATGACAACCTGAGCCAGCACTCTGTCATTGGTGTTTCTGAGGAAGTGGTGCATGAGTCTGGTGGCACATGCATTGGGCGGGATCATCCGGAAAATGGTAGCTTAACTGAAGAGAAGGACATCACTATGCCCCCAGGTACTAAGGTGACTTCAGAAACTTTGCAAACCGTAAGTCGAGAACTAGCTGCCGCATTATCTCAGATTCATGACTTCTTACTGTCCCTGGGGAAAGAAGCAAGGGCATTTGACGATATCTCTTCCGATGGCAACAGCTTAAGCCACAAAATCGATGAGTTGTCCATCACCTACAATAAGGTCTTATGCAGCAATATGAGTTTGGATGATTTCGTTTTCAATCTTTCTACTGTTTTAGCCAAAGCCAGTGAATTAAGATTCAACGTGCTCGGCTACAATAGTAGTGATGTGGAAATCAATGGTTCTGATTGCATAGAAAAGGTTATTTTACCAGAGAATAAGGTAAATCAAAACAATTCATCCGAAGGAAGATATCAAAATGGTTGTGCTCACATTTCTAATTTGACTTCCAATCCTGATGTTCCCAATGAAGGAAACATTGTCTTGGAATATGAATCAAAACAGATGAGCAGCATCTCTTTGGACGAGTTCAAGGAATTGAAGTTGGAGAAAGAAAACATGGAAATGGATCTTTCTCGATGTACTGAAAATCTGGAGATGACCAAGTCCCAATTACATGAAACTGAGCAGCTTCTAGCAGAAACAAAATCTCAATTGGCTTCTGCTCAAAAACCAAACAGCTTGGCCGAGACACAGCTCAAGTGCATGACAGAGTCGTATAGGTCACTTGAAACGCACGCAGGGGAGTTGGAGACCAAGGTGAACCATCTCAGTGAAAAAAACGAAAATCTGGAAAATGAGCTTCAAGATGAAAAGAGAAGTCACCATGATGCTTTCGCCCGATGTAAGGAACTAGAAGAACAATTGAAAAGGTAAGCATTGCACTCTTCTCATACAATTTTAAAGTTACACCAACACTTTGTTGTTTGATTCTATATGCCTGTGTATTTACATATAACAAAATTGTTTTCCATCACTTATAGGAATGAGAAATGTTCTGTTTGTTCAGCAGCCGATAATGACCTCAAGAACAAGCAGGTGAGACTATATTTTATCTCGTCTTGTTTACAACTATGAAACCTAATATTGATGTTAACAAATACCGACTAGCGCATTTCAGTGTTGGAAATGGTCATGATATTGATCTGTTTGTGTCGACGACAGGACAAAGAATTAGCTGCTGCGGCCGAGAAGCTCGCTGAATGTCAAGAAACCATATTCCTTCTTGGCAAGCAATTGAAGGCTCTCCGCCCTCAGACTGATAAGATGGGGTCACCCTACAATGAGAGGAGTCAGAAGGGTGAAGACGAACCCTCTACTAGCTACTTGAGCTTGCAAGACTTAGACCAGGCGGAGATAGACACTGCTGCATCTGGCAACGGAATCCAAACCAGTGCGGAATCCTCATTGGAGTCATTTAACAAACCATGCAGCCCTTCCAATACCGAAGAAAACCTTACGAAATTACCGGCCGGTTCGAAACATAGGTCTACCATGTCAAGCACTTCATCTTCAACTTCTGCCACAACAACCCCGGAGAAACATTCGAGAGGCTTTAGCAGATTCTTTTCCTCCAAAGGAAAGAATGGTGTTTAAACCAGCAGCATTACATGGACATAAAAAATACCTACATATTTATTTTACTGGTTTTCTTCCACTCTCGTTTCACATGTACGTATTGGTTTATTCCTTATTTTCCAATAAAAAATAATTAAAATATTTCTTATCCATAAATTTTAACAGTTCAATTTACAATGGAAGTATAATAATTTAAAAATTAATATAAAATATAATTCAATATTTATCGTTATTTATCTGTTAAATCTTATCGTTCTTTATTTACTTGGATCGTCTACTTGTCCTCCTTTTTGAAAATATCTCATCTCATCTCCCCTTTTCTTTTCTTTTTCACCGCTTATAAAATGAAAGTTACACCTAATTTTACCACCCATCCACCATGCGACTACACTCGCTCAGAAGAAATATGACATAATCATCGAGTCAAACTTTGCATCATGAATTCATCTATATAAAACTTGGCAACAAACTTTGTAACCGCAAGCTGAATCTGATATAAACTTAATTAGAAAAAACCCAGATTTTGTTGAAACACGCAAACCCTACACTACAACCCACCTCCCAACATACGTGCCTTTCCTTGTCCTAATAATACCTAATATTATATGTGGCAGAGATGAACAATACCGAACATGCAATCTCATTTAATTCTTTATAACCAAACTTGGATATTTGGTTTTCTTTTAAACAAACAAATAAATAAAGGAAATTAAAAATATTATATGTTATGCCGTGGTTTACTGCCCTCAAGATTTATCAATCATTGTTTTCTTCAATTTTATATTTCTCTTACTTTTATATTCATTTTATGATTTATATTCAAGGTTTGTAATTATCGTGTCGAACTATATTTGTTTATGATATTGTAACGAGAATTCTCTTATTGAGAATACAATGTATCTTCTGAGGAATGAAGGCAGGAGAAATTCCTTGGGGAAGGAGATTATTGAAGGGTCAAAATACATTATTATTATTATTATTATTATTATTATTATTATTATTATTATTATTATTGTTATTATTGTATTAATTTAAAACTACTATACTTTTTAAAGACATTTAATTATAATTTTATTATTTAGGGGTTTTAAAACAATTTCATCACAATGATAAATTAAATTAGTGTTATAAAATCTAAAATGCATTAAGCGAACTCGGAGGTAAAAGAATTGTTGTTATTCCTTGAGGTCTTAAGTTCGAGCACCATGATTGTCAAAAGCATGAGCGTTTAATGTCAAATGATTGAAAACTATCTTTAAACAAATATTACATTATAATTACCACATATAAATGAAAAAATGTGTCATGAAACCATAGGAGTTAAAAAAATAAACTTATCATTGAAGGGGTTCTACCTCTCCGGAGCTACCCATGTAAATTGTGCCTTGTTATATGTTTAATGTTTTATTAGAAACTTATTAAATAATTTTAATAACGAACAAATATTATTTTCTAGAAAATTGTGTTCTAATAATTATGTTTGTAAGATATATATTATATTAATAAATTAAATTTTTTGAACAAATACTAACTTTTAATCAATACATATTATTCAAAAGAAAATATTTTATTAGTCTTGTGATTTTCTCTCTCTCCCTCTCCAATTTTTTTCTTAATTATTTAGGACGATGACGTCATCTATCTTTAATCAAAGGGTTGCCATTTATGTTTTATCATAATATTTATTATGTTTCGACATAAAGGTTCATGATGTCGTTATATTTTTTTAAAAAAATATTAATGTGGTTTTCAAATTACTTTTTGCACTACTCTAAAACTTAATATGACTTTTTTATCAATAGTTTCTGTCATTCATCGTTACAGTACTAACATGACGATATATGATACTGATATGGTGGTCCATGGTGGCTGTTGACATGACTAATGATGTAACATATGGGTTAAATTGGTATTTTTTTGTCATATTCGAGAGTCAAATTGATTTTTTTAAAAGTTCAAAGGTTTATTTGATTTTTTTGAAAAAATATTTTAAATTTTAAATTTAAACTATAAAAAATACTAAAAATACAAACTAAATTACTAAATTTAGAAACATATATTAACAGAGTGATTGAAATTGTTATTATTAAATGATTCATTAATCTAGATATGAATTCTAATGTAAATTTTATTTAATTTAGTAGCATAATTATATTGATATGTTAATACATGTCAATTCTAATGCGAGTCTTATTTTATTTTTATTTTATAGAAATGAATTTGTTATTCCTTGAAATTTTTTTTAAAAAAATATTACGAGTTATAAAAAAACCTCAAACACGTTGACTCTATATCTACATTGATTTTATAGAGTTAAATTTAACAGAAATTGGTAGTGTAAGGCAATTTTCCTATTAATTTTGTTAGATCAAGTTTAGATGAAGTTTACTTTCTTCTTGTAACACCCCAACCCGTATCCGACCCGGATATGAGTCTGAGGTGTCACATTAGCTTTCCAAAACTCTGTTCTTTACAATTCCGTAAAATCTTAAATTTATCATTTAAGAAAATGGATACTTTACCTTAATAATTACAATCAAATTGTTTCTTTAAAATGATCAGAGCATATTCAATTCAAAATCTTGTAACTGCATGCCAACTAACTCTATAAACAAAATACATATATTTAATATGTTTCTGATCTAATCCTTGTAAGGAAGATACTGACCTGTCTTGCTCCTCGCTACTTCAATTCTCGCTTCTCAAACCTACGTGTAAAACATTCACACGCTAAGTCTATGACTTAGTGAGGCATTAAACTTATAAGATAAACTCTAACTTTTTAACCATGCATGAACATATCATACCATGCTATCACACAAAACAATATAACATTTCGTATAATTAAATGTACACGGATACATATCACTCATCATTTACCTCATTATTCTTATTTCACTATCCACATTATTAACATTTATATAAGTTAATCATATCTTCTTATCCTAATCTTTTCCACCAACATATATGACTCATAAACCAAACAATACAAATATCATCATATATCACAAAAACATATTCTTCACATGTAATGTATTTATTGTTATATCTTTGTTTAGCCCATGAACATTTCTAAGAACTATAAATATGCGAGTCTATTGAGGTTGTGCACTATGCTGTCACCACAGCTCGTATGAGGTCCCACTAGGGGCATATGAATTTGTCCCGAAGGACCACTAGGAAATGTCCCGAAAGACCACTATGTCCCGAAGGACCACTATGTCCCGAATGACCACTGATAATCCCTCGACTCTTGGCATGCCAACTATATCTCTAGATCTAATATATCCTGTAATTTTTGTTGTTCAAACTCAACATTCTAACTTCCTTTGTCTTATAAACTGATTATCGATATACTCATTCTTAAACTCTTATACCAATTCTCACTGCATCATTTGATCTTTTAAGGCTCTTATGGTGACACTTGTTCACCATATTCTATCTTATACACTAAATAATAAAACGACTTCATATCACCTTTCTGATTCAAAACAGTGAAAACTTTCTATCATTATTCAGAGATGATTTCAACTTTCTGAAATCAACATTTAATCTTATAAGACACTTTCTGAGGTTTCCGCTCTTCATCATGTCTGGCCAGGGCAGGTGAATTGCTATCACCATCAGATTTTTCAGCCATTGATTCACTTCGACAATTTCTATAATTAAGTTCTACTATATCATACAAATCTTATTCTATTAACAAGACATCATCCTCCTTACACTATCAGATCAGAAAATTTTCACTTTGAGTTGCCATGTACACATTTTTAAACTTCATTTGACTTAGGTTTAAGCCTAGAATCGGCTAAACTTGGCTCTGATACCGTTAAATGTAACACCCCAAACTCGTACCAAACCGGATACGAGTCCGAGGTGTCACATTGACTATTCAAAATGTTTACCTTGCCAAAATCTAATAAAATTCAGTTTAACATTCCAACAAAACCCAAATAATCTTTATTGTATAAAACATGTGGTTTTACAAATTTGATCAGAGCGTAACCAATACTAATATTTTATCTTACATGCCAACTACATTTCATATGACAAAATACGCATAATTTAAATTCATTTCTGATCTGAACTGTGGAAAGGAGAATCTGACATGTCTTGTTCCTCTTAGCTTCTCTTCTCGCTTCTGCAACCTACGTGTGAAACAATCACACGCTAAGTCTATGACTTAGTGAGGCGTTAACATATAAAAGTAACTCTAACTACTTAACCATGCATATACATAGCATATCATACTATCACCCACAACAATCTAACATCACATATAATCAACTATACACATATACATATCATTCATCATTTCCATCATTAACCTTATTTCATTATCAATATAATTATCATTTATATCTTGTAATCATATCCTTTTTATACCTAGCGTTTTTAACCAACATGATTCATTTAACTACATAATATACATATCATCATTTAAATCATATAATACAATTTATTTGACCAAAAGCATACATATCATATATCATATATTTATTATTATCTCTTGGTTAACCCATGTACATATGTGAGAACTATAGATATGTAAGTCTATTGAGGTTGTGCAATATACTGTCACCACAGCTCGTATGGGGTCCCACTAGGGGCATGTAAAATTTGTCCCGAAGGACCACTGTATATGTCTCGAAGGACCACTGTATATCCCTCGACTCTTGGCATGCCAACTATATCTCTAGATCTCATGACACATAACTTGGGCATTATCTTTATATCATTTCACATAATCTTATCACATAGGCACAGAATTCACTTCCATATAATTCACATGTCACATATACCTTTTCTTATATTCCTGTCATTCATAATCACATACCTGTGCTCATATCATTTCTCATTTATTCACATAGATTATATCACGTTTCATACGATTTCATATTCCTTTGACACTTGATTTGTTTCTTGTTCTTATATCTTCTCATATACATATTTTCTCATCTTATAACTTATATTACATTTGCATGCCATTTTATGACTTATTATCAAGTAATTCAGATAATATTCTTGTATTGTTTCATAGATCATTATCATATAAACATAAATGCACACC